TTTAGCTCAGGTTCTACCGCCTGACTTGCAAACGCAGGGACACAAGTTCGACCCCTGGTACCAAAAAAAAAAAGATAATTATTTTTGGAGACCCCTTCTGGTTGTTAAGTTCTTCTAATCATTAATTCCAAATTTGATCTCATAAAAATTATTTCAGAAGCCAGGCATGGTGGTCCACTCCTGTAATCCCAGCACTGAGGCAGGAGGATCGCTGTGAGTTCAAGACCAGCCTGGGCTACATAGTGAGTGAGACCCTGCCTCAAAAAAAAAAGCCAAAAAAACAAACAAAAAAATTATTTGGTTGTTAAGTTCTTCTAATCATTAATTCCAAATTTGATCTCATAAAAATTATTTCAGAAGCCAGGCATGGTGGTCCACTCCTGTAATCCCAGCACTGAGGCAGGAGGATCGCTGTGAGTTCAAGACCAGCCTGGGCTACATAGTGAGTGAGACCCTGCCTCAAAAAAAAAAGCCAAAAAAACAAACAAAAAAATTATTTCAGGGCTGAGGGTGTAGCTTAGTGATAGTGTGCTCACCTAGCATGCATGAGGCCCTGGGTTCAGTCTCTAGTACTGCACGTGCACGCGTGTGCGCGCGCACACACACACACACACACACACACACACACACACACACACACAGGGCCCTGCTGTCCAGAAGCTGTTGTGGAGGCTCACAGCAAGGATTTGGTGTTCTGGTGAACATAAGCAGGTTCAGAGGTCAGTGGTATCATACAGGGCTGCTCTGTGAGGGTAAGGGATCAAAACAAAAATAAAACTTATCATAGTATCCAAACCACAAAAAGACCAGGCATCATCCTATCCTGGATTATCCGAGTGAGTGCTACTTCTAATCACAGTATTCCCCTTGCCTTCTAGATAAGAACTAAAATACCCAATCATAGAATTTCCCTTACTTCCTGACATCATCCAGGCCTTGGACTCTCTCCCCAAATCACTAAATAAGAGGCCAAATCCTGTGATAGGTTCTGGCTAAAGCCCTGTTACTGCGATATTTTATGGTTTCCCAGGATGCATAATCCTCCTTGCTCTTTGCAAGAAGTCAGTGAACCCAGATTTGTTTGACTAGAGCTGATCTTTGAGTGAAAGACATTTATATTATAATCAAATTCTAGGACTTAGCCTTGGACAGCTTGTAACTTAGCAGGAAAGATAGACAAATCAACGGTACTCAGTGAGTGAGATAAGTAGTGCAATAAAGTGTAAAGACAAGCTAGGTGTGGTGGCGCACACCTGTAATTCCAGCACTCGGGAGGCTGAGGCAGGAGGACCACTGTGAGTTCGAGACTAGCCTGGGCTACATAGTGAGTTCCAGGTCAGTCCCAACTACATAGTGTCTCAAAAAAACAAAACAAAAAAAAGTGTAAAGACAATACTGCAAGAGCAATAGGTCAGAGAGCCAGGTGGGTCAGTGAAGGCACCCTGGAGGAGAGCACTCAGCTGAATCTAAGCCACTAGCCCAGTGAGTAGGTAGGAGTTAGGTTAAAGACAAGAAACCAAGTATGTAGCTAAAACATGACAGGGACTACCAGCAAGTCTGAATACAAAACTTTTCTATTGGGTTGATTACACGGTGGTATGATTAGATTCTATTTTATATAAAGATTCAGTAACCACATATTGTGATCAAAGTTAAAGCAACATCATTTCCCTCCAGATGCTGAGGACACACCATTACTTTTATAGTATTGCCAAAAAGACATAACCTGAATTAACCATAAGGAAAAAAGTCACAAAATCCCAAATGAAAAGATGTTCTGTGATCCCCGGTACCCCCCAAAAAAGTGTTCTGCCCTTTGAACTCAATAAATGCCAATGTCACGAAACAAAGGCTGGGGAACTGTTTCAGATGGAAGGAGGTTACATGAAGCCAAATGCGTGGTTTACCCTGGGCTGATTTGAGAATGAAATACTTTTCCCTCTTTTATTATGAAGGACACTGGTGAAACTCAGTTAGATAATACAGTATCCATACTAACTGCCTGGTTTTGATTATTGTGCTATGCTTGTACAACAAGGTCCTTGTTTTCTGGAAATGCACCCAAAGTATTTAGGGATAAGTGAGCATCATGTTTGAAATGCACTCTCAAACTGTTTAGGGGAAATCTATATAGATAATATATATATAAAAAAAAATATAATATAGGGTATCTGAGTGAGGTGACACATACCTGTAATCCTCAGGAGGGTGAGCAGGAGGACTGATGGAGTGCACAAGTTCAAGGCCAGCCTGGGCCAGATGAGAGAGGTAGGGGTGGGGGTGGAAAACTGTTAACATTTGGGGAACTCGGATGTAGGATGATCATAAATTCTTTATACCACTTTCACAACTTTTCTGTAAGACTGAAAATAAAGTTACCCTTCTGTAAAAAAAATAAAAAGCAGATAACTGAACATCTAATGTCAGCATTGCAGTAGGAACTCAAGAACTGGGCAGCAGATCCAAAGGGGTGAGTGGAGACCTCCAAAGAGAGGACAATAATCTGGGCAAGAAATAGGGAAAGTTTGAATTAAGGCAGTGCCAACATAATTAGAGGGACATTAAAAGGACACTCGTATGATCTGGTGATTAGCTGGACTTGAGTTAGGAAACAAGAGAGGTTTGGTGAGGTGTTTGGTTTCTTGCATCGTCTTTTGGTGGCACCATGGTACCATTTACCAAGATAGAGCAGGAAGTTTGTGGATGAGATGATTGGCTTTGGGCAACTTCTTAGGAGCTGCTGAGAAGGGTTGATCTCCAGGCCTGTAACTTGGGAGAGATCTGGGCTTAAATATAGGCTACTGAGGATGTTACTAGCATTGAAGAGGAAGAAGAAACCATGAGATAGGAAGAGACTCCTTAGAGAGAAAACATAGCAGAACCCCAGAAATCCCCAACATCTAGGGATGGCAGTCCCGCTCTCTTTGCCCTACTCAAGAAAGTGGGGCATGGTGATATATAACTGCAATCCCAGCACTCTGGGAGGCTGAGGTAGGAGGATTGCAAATTCAAACTAGCCTGGAAAATTTAACAGTTTAGTGAGATCCTGTCTCAAAAACTCAAACAAGGGCTAGGGATGTGGCTCAGTGTGAAGGCCCTGGCTTCAATCCCCAGTACTTCAAAAAGAAGGAAGGAGAAGGAGGTAAAGGAGAGAGGGAGAGAAAGGAAAGAATGAAGGAAAAAAGAAAGTGTTCTTCACATTCTTATGTTCCCACCAAAGGGTTAGGCTGTTTTTTCTTCCACCTGGATGTGTCACGTGGCAGGGTCTCAGGAGAAGGTTTCTGCTGAGATAAGGAACCTACACCCACCCTACCCAGAGAATTAAGGTGCAAGTTTGCTGACTCCTGTCGTGGAAAAAGAATTGTCAGGACTTGTCTGTAAGACAAAGAATTAGGTCAAAATTTAAAAATACATTTTCAAATATTCAAATCGAGTATGGGACGGCGAGGGGGCGGTTTACAATCTGAAGGTGGATATTTTTGTGGGGTCTTGGGGGTGTCTTTGAGATAGGTGATCTTGGGCCAAGGATGTAGCTCAGCGGTGCCTCATCTGCCTGGCAAGTCACAAAGTTCCTGGTTCAATTCCCCGTACAAAAAAAAAGATGGGTGACCTTGGACCTGTATTCCTACTGGCTGTGTGTTACCTATTTGTCAGGCTATGCTAGAATACAAAGCATTTACATGTGTTTGAAGTTGCCACTAACACTGTTGCTTCCTTGAGAGCTGAGGTCGGTGAGAAGTGCAATTTACAGGTGAAAAGCACAGGCCCAGAACCCAATTAACAGGCTTATTGTGTCTTTAAGAACCTTGGGGTTTTTTTTTCTTGTTTTTATTTGTTTGTTTTTTGAGACAGGGTTTCATTATGGAGTTCAGGCTGGCCTCAAATTTGGGGGATCCTCCTGCTTCAGCCTCCCTAGTGCTGGGATTACAGTTGGGACTTCTTTCTTTCCTTCTTCCTCTCCTCCTCCTCCTTTTTTTTGAGTGAGTTTCCTGGAAGGGAAAAAGGTTTGAGTAACTTTTGTATCCTGAAGCTACAGTTTCTCTTAAAAGTACAATTTTAGGGCCAGGGATTTAGCTCGGTGGTGGCACCACCTTCCTCACAAGCACAAGGTCCTGAGTTTGATCCCTGGTACCAAAAAAAAAAAGTACAATTTTAAAATTCTGATTTTCCTTGTCACCTGCTTACCTACGGTTATTTTTTCAGTCCTACCTCAGATGTGTGGCTTTCAAAGTGTCCTCATATTGTATTTTCCCACCTGTAAATAGGAAAATGGGAGCAGAATCATCTTAAGTACCTTCCAGGGCCAACAGAAAATCCTGAGGCTCTAAGTACTGGTTCTTCTAAATTACTATCCCTAAGCTTTCAGGTGAAGGAGGAGCACTGTATATAGCTCACTGAGAGAGCATGCCTAGCATGCAGAATACAGTGGGTTCTACCCCCAGCAATTAAAACAAATGAGCTGAGGTTGCTCCAACCATTTTCTGCTTGCTTTGAGTTTGCTGGTGTTGATTTCTAGCCCTTCCTCCTTGGTGAATTAAAACGTATAATGTCGGGCTGGGGATTTAGCACAGTGGTTTGGTGCCTACCTCGCAAGCACAAGGACCCGAGTTTGATCCCCAGTACCAAAAAATAAATAAATAAAAATAAAATGTATAATGTCAAATTCATGGGTGTTTTGAGTGTACCAAGGGATTTTTAGGATAATCCAGATGACAGGGAATGGGACACTAGACTGAGATAAATAATGAAGTAATGTACAAATCTCAAGCATAGAACTGTGTGATTTTTGATAGTACACACACCCAAGCAATGCATGTCTCTGTTTACAAATCATTCTCACCACCCTGCCCGTCTCCCAGGAGTTTCCCTTCCTCGCCTGGGCAGCTAATCCCTGCTGCTATCCCCCCAGAGACAAGTACCATTCTGTTTACTTAAAAAAAAAAAACCCAAAAACTATAGTGGCTGGGGCTGTAGCTCAGGGGTAGATAGCTTGACTAGCATTCTTGTGTGACCCTAGGTTCCACCCCCAGCACTTCAGAAAACAAAATGTCATCTTGTAAATTGAGCAGATGTAGATTCAGGAGGCAGGGTCAGGAATACGCTCGGGCTCTCCGTGGGGAATGTGAAGCTGAGGACTGCTCAGGATCGCCCCCCCCGCGTATGATTTTCTATAATAAATTTTATTTTATCCCATTCCCCTCTCACGCCCCCTCCCCTCCCTGTGTACAAAAGCTTTGTTTCCATTTTTCCTTCTCTTTTCACTTTTTTTTTCCTTGTCCCTTCCTTTCTTTCTCCCTCTCTCCTCCCTTGTTCCCCTAAATACAGTCTTTTCTCTTCCCCAACAAAAACGTTTTGCAAGAGTTGGCTTCCAGCCGCCAGGGTCTTCCCGATTGAGGAGAGGGAAGATTTGTTTAATCGCTTTGTTCTTTCCTTTCTAAATCTGTTTGTGTTTAACCAGACCCAGTTCCAATCTGTTAAGCATTTTAACAACTTCTGTTTGTTTGTTCAAGTAAAAGATAAACGTTAGATATCCTAGTTCAAACTCCAAAGTTTAGGTTCACTGTGCCCCAGCCTCTCCAGTCCCACCCCACCCCTCCCCTTCCCTGCCCGGGGTAGCTTTGCAGGAATTCTTCCCGCTGCGGGAGCCGAGGGGTAGCCTCGGGAGGGAGCCGGACGAGCCAGCCCGCCGCGTCGCCTTGAGCCAGGGCCTCTGTGTTCCAGGGAGTTTCCCTTCCCCTAAGTCCTTCTGCCTGGCCTTCAGCCACTGGACAAGTCGCAGGCCTGGTGAGTGCCCAGGTCGACCGGCCTCCCGCTCAAAGCAAGGGCGGAGCGACATCCAAGGGCCCATTTTCCCAACCCGGAGCAGCAGGGAGGGCGACTGCCCTGCGCCCACCCGGGAACCCCCGCCCAGCTCGTCCGGACTGGCCTGGACGCCCCGCAGCAGAGGTGAGGCCCACGCGAGGGATGAGACGGGCTCAGCCTTCAGCTTACCAGGGCCTTGCCGTCGCTGTCGCCGAAGCAGTCGCCTAGGCCCAGGCAGCTGCTGGGCAGATGAATGAGTCAGACTGTGTGAAGACTGCTCCTCTGCACAGATACCCCAGGTGCAGCAGGGCCTCAAGCCTTTCTTCCCCAACCGCCCATTTGCAGCTAGGGCCTGGTGCAGAAATGGGACATTTGTCAGCCTCTGGCATGCGTGACAAGCAGAACAGCGGGGGTTAAAAGTCACTGCTGAAAGTGGAGCTTCTGATCATGGGTCCTATCTAAGATTGATAACATGAAGGCCTTTGGAGTCTGAGCCAATTTTTAACATCCAATAACATTCCCAATGCAATAGGCTGGCAGTATTTGAAACAAGTTTGAGGTGTGTGTGTTTTAAGTGTAGTTTACTGAGGGGATTTTTTTCCAACGGGGTGTGAGGCAACCTCTTTATATATATATATTGGCTGGCCTTGAACTTCCTACCTAGCCCAGACTATTGAAAAAAATATTAGACCAAAGATCATTTTCCTCCCCTCTCTCATATTCATTTGTCAACCCATTGTGGGGCCACTTAGTTAAAGCAGACATCTGGGCAAAGCCCGCAGGTGCCAGCAATTTTTACCAACTGGAAGCCTAATTGAGAGCAGAGTAGGGAAAGGGGAAGGATGCTATTGAAAGTTGCCTGTCTCCCACATGGGATTCTTTTTTTAATAGAAAAACATTTTAGACATGCATAATGATAACACTTAGGGAATTTGCACCTGTACATGACACATCCCACCTCTTTTTTCCCTTTCCCCCTCCCACCTCCCTTGTTCGCCTTCCCATTTCCCAAGATCTGTTATACATGTTAGTCCTTATTTCCACTTTCGGTTTCTCACACCAGAGAAACAATGCGGTATTTAAACATGTGTGTCTGCTTTATTTCACTTCAGAGTATGTTATGGTCTCAAGGTGCATCCATTTAGCTAGAAATGTCTCAAGCTCATCCTTATGGCAGAGTAGTAGTCCATTGTGTTAAAAACACACACACACACACACACACACACACACACACATCTTTATCCACTAATCAGTTGATGGACATTTGGGCTGTTTTCAAGATTTAGCTATTACAAATGGTGCCGTTAGAATAAACATAGGTGTGCATATATCACTGGTATGCTTTTAATTCTTTTAGGGAGATGCAAAGAAGGGGAGTAGCTGAGTCAAATGGAACCTCTGGTTTTAGTTTTTTGAGAAATCTCCACACTGCCTTCCACAGTGGTTGCACCAGTCTGCACTCCCACCAACCGTGGAGTCTCACATGGGATTTTTATGTGATACGTTTTCATTTTTCTTTTCTGATAATTCCTTTTCTTCTCCTGATTTACTGGCCATAGTCTCTGCCCTAAAGTCCTTGAAGACTCCTTGCCATACTGATGCCATGCCTTCCCAGGACGCAAGAGGAGCGTTGGTTTCCTCCTGCCTAGCAGGTGTTTTTTCTCCATCCCTTCCATTGTGTGAATTTGGAAATGAGTGGGGGTTGCTGTTAGGGATGGAAAGGAGGGGCTCAGGCATGTTAAACTGTGCTCTGCTGCTGAGCCACACCCATTATTACTGGTGAACTGATTTCTAAAAATACAGAGCAGGAACGCACTGGCCTCCAAGGGGATCAATAGCACTAACAGGTGGAGGAAGAGAGGAAAAGAGGAGAAGGCGACCTGTAGATACCCAGAGGGGCCACCAATGAGGGAACTGCCCGCCCCCCTGACCATCCTTGGGGTCCAGGGTACTGGCATAAAGTGCAGCCTTGCACTCTCCAAACAACCAGTTCTCTGAGGAGCACCAGCACCAAGGTGTGGGTGTCGGAGTAATCACTGCTCTTCTACAAAGACAAAAAAACCTCACTGGTAAGTTGATTTCAGATGTCTCCTGTTATCCCCTATGAGCACTTTCTTCTTCCTCCTACAGGTCTCCTCCTGTTACATTGTTTATCTTATTTTGACTTTGGGAAAGTAAGTACAGCTTTTCCAGTTCTTATCAAACACAGACATACATCTGAGAAGATGTGGGTTGGGTTCCAGACCACTGTGATAAAGCAAATTTCAGATGAAAATGAGACACACAAGTTTTTTGGTTTCTCAGTGAATATAACAGTTATGTTCATACAATGCAGTGGTCTATTAAGTGTGCAATAGCATTATATCATAAAAATGTATACACCTTTATTTTAAAAATACTTTATAGTTTAAAAAAATGCTAAGGGGGCAGGGGATTTAGCTCAGTGGCTCCACCACTGGCCTTGTAAATGCAGGGACCTGAGTTCGATCCCCGGTTCCCCCCCCAAAAAAAAATGCTAAGGGTCACCAGAGCTGTTGGAAAATGGTGCTTGTAGACTTGTTCAATGCAAGGTTGCCACAAACCGTTGATTTATTTTTTTTAAGTTATCTGCAAAGCACCATAAAATAAAGGATGCCTGAGTGGTTTTTTGTTTGTTTTTTTTGTTTTGTTTTTTTGAGACAGGGTCTCACTATGTAGTTGAGACTGACCTGGAACTCACTATGTAGCCTAGGCTGGTCTCGAACTCATAGTGATCCTCCTGCCTCAGCCTCCCAAGTGCTGGGATTACAGGTGTGCACCACCACGCCCGGCTTGCCTGAGATTTTTTTACCAAGGTCTCAAGCTAGATATGGTGCTGAATTGGCTGAATGCAATTACGTTTCACTTGGTCTCTGTTATCTTCAGAAGGTGGCTGCACGACAATGTCTTCCATTAAAATTGAGTGTGTCCTGCCTGAGCGCTGCCGGTGCGGTGAGTCTCCAGTATGGGAGGAAGCGTCCAACTCTCTGCTCTTTGTAGACATTCCTGCAAAACGAGTTTGCCGTTGGGATTCACTCACCAAGCAAGTTCAGCGAGTGACCTTGGGTAAGCAAGCAAGGCCTGGCTTCCGTCTTTGCAGTGAGGCATCTTTTCCAGGGGAGGAGCAGTCATCATGTTTGTCGTCCTTCCCTTGGGCTCTCCTTATTAAAGCAGACTGACTGTGCTTTATGACCTTTGGGCTTGTCGTGCTGTCTGTGTTGCACTCCATGTCCTCCCACTTTGACCCAGGGATAAATGTTAGATCATCAGCACCTTAATCATCCTCTTCCAGTGAGGGGCAACACTCCCAGTATCTGTCCTTGATACCTTCATATAGCAGCATTGAAATTTGGAGACTAAATTAATGACACAGCAAAGGTCATCTGCCTTGGGCCAAGCCAAGAACTTAGTTTAAAGAAAAATAACAAATTTATCTTTTCTTAGCATATGAAAATGTCATTTGCCTGTGAAGAGGTCAGAGTACAGTTCAGTGGTAGATTGCTTGCCTAGTGTGAGTTCCATCCCCAGCACTAGGTGGGGGAAATATCAACCAGGCCTATCTTCCTTCTCTGCACAAATGAGCAATTCCGATGGAATCCTGTGTGCATTTCAGTGTGATTTCATTTAGGGCCCTATGGTTTCCAGAGAAGGAGTCTATTGCTTTCTATGGCTCAAGGCAGTGCGCTGATGTGACTAGTGATAGAGAAAGAAGTTTCTTTTATTTTTATTTTCATTATGATGATGATGATGATGATGATGATGATGATGATGATGATGTTCATGGGACTGAGATACCAGGAATTACTGTAACCTTGGGAATACACAAGAATTCCTCATATCTCTTTCCATGAATCGACTTAGGGACCACAATCAGTCCCCCTCTGGCTCTGTTTCTTTCATCCTAGGGACTGAAACCCAGGGCCTTGCATTTACTAAGGATGCACTGTACCACGGAGCTACAGCCCCAGCCTCCTGGAAACTTTTTCTAACAGTATAGGGGACTGAACTCAGGGCTTTTGCACTGAGTTACATCCCCAGCCCCTTTTCTTTTTTTCTTTTCTTTTTAATCTTCAGACAGAGTTTCACCAAGTTGCCCAGGCTAAGTTTGACCTTTCCAGCCTCCTGTCTCAGCCTTAATCCCCAGCCTGGGGACAGCTTTTTTACTAGGAATCTGACTGCTGCTGGAGGCAAAGTGACTGTGGCCTCAGAGGCCACAAAGGGGTATGGACTCATCACCTTCCCTAGTGTGTTCCTTCCAGCGCATTCTTCTGCCTGCCCTAATCTGCAAGCCCCTCCCCCAACACCTGAGAAGGGCTGGTGGTGTCTGCCGGAGTTTGGGAAGCTACCAGGAGGAGTCTCAAGCCACAGAGATCCTTAATGAAAGTACAACCCTCCTTGAAGCGTCCCACACATTCCCTGGGAGCCTCAATGGCTTGATTCAACCTCTGAGAAGAGCCTTGATCTAAGAGCACCCAACACTTTGCACCGATTAGGTACTTTAGGAAATGTCTGATAAATTTATTTCCTGTGACTGTTCACCCTGGTAATCAATGTCTCCACTTTAGATTTTTTTTGGGGGGTAGGTTGCTGCGGATCAAACCCTTAGCTTCAGACATGCTAGGCAAGGGCTCTACCACTGAACTACAGCTTCAGCCCTAATCTCTCCACTTTTTTTTATATAGAGTTTCGCTACGTAGCTCAGGCTGATCTTGAACTCACTATGTAGCCCCGGCTGGCCCCGAGCTTGAGGTGATGCTCCTGCCTCAGTCTCCGAGAGCTGGGATTATAGGTGTGCACCACCATACTCGACTAATATCTCCACTTAAAGTTTTCAGGGCTGGGCACACAGTGATACAGTGTGTGCTTAGCATGTATAAGGACCTTGGCATTTAACCCCCAGCACCCCAAAATATTTTCTTATATAGAGAAAAATATCAAGCTCAGAAAACCTAAAGTCTCAAGATATAAATTGTAGTAATACAATGAAGAGATGTGATTATATCATCCCTGTATCTACATTCCTATTTATTTTTCACCATGCTTCCTTCCAAGGAAGACTTGAGAAACAATTTTCAATTGAATACATAGAAAATAAAGCCCCTTTAAAAAACATAAGAGTTAGGGCTGGGAATGTGGTTCAGTGGTACAGCACTTGCCTAAGATGCAAAGTCCTAAGTTTGATCAAAAAAGACAAATATTTTATTACAAGAGGGAGCAATGTCCTTAAACCTAGTTTCTGGAAGTAAACACAGTTTGCATCTGTGAACTTCCTGGAGATCAGATAATTTGAGCATAGCACATTCTGTGATGGCCCCTGGTGCACTTCAGTTGGGAACCACTCCTCTGAACATGATGTTGCACTTGCCCCAATGTATTGCAGCTGCTGTGGTTTAACTTTTTTTTTTTTTTTTGAGAGACAGACAGACAGACAGACAGACAGAGTCTTTCTATGTTCCCAGCTGGCCAGGAACTTGCTATATAGCCCAGGCTGGCTGGCCTTGAACTCTCCATCCTCCATGCCTCGGCCTCCCCCTGCCTTCAGCAGCTGCTGAGGTTTGACTCCTCTGCTGTTTCCCCACGAGCCTGGGAACATTCAAAAGAGTAGGATTGTGTTCACTTTTCTGGCTTTGCTGCCTAGAACAGTGCACAGAGTTGACACTCAACAAATATACAAGATTATATAGCCTTTCTTATTCAACAAGGAGAAATAACACACTCCCATTGTCAAAAGTGCTAGGCTTGGGCCAGGGATTTAGCTCAGTGGTGCTGTGCTGCCTAACAACTGCAAGGTCCTGAGTTCGATCCCCAGGTACTGGCGGGGGGGCGCGGGCTGAGCTTCTCTCAAAGATGTTAGGGGACAGGATGGCCTCAGTGTGCTTGCCACCTTCTAACAACTACTGCTTTTGCCTCTACAGATACCCCAGTCAGCTCGGTGGCCCTTCGCCAGTCAGGAGGCTATGTTGCCACAGTTGGAACAAAGTTCTGTGCTTTGAACTGGGAAAATCAATCAGTAGTAGTCCTGGCTTCAGTGGATCAAGATAAGAAGAACAATCGATTTAATGATGGAAAAGTGGACCCTGCCGGGAGATACTTTGCTGGTATGATTTTTTAGTCCCTATTTTGTTCAGCTTTGCAAGAAACACTATGATTTAGAAAGTTCTGACTGCTATAGTGGTAAAAGTGTTATTTAAATGGGTTGTGGGTTCTTTTTCTTTTGCAGTGCTGGGGATTGAACCCAGGACCTCATGGATGCTAGGCAAGCGTGCAAGCCCTCAGCTATACCCTCAACCCTTTAATTATTGCCTCACTAACTTGTACCACTAAAGAAAATCCTATGAGAAAATCTTGCCAGATATTCTTTTCAATCCTGTCTCGAGCAGAAACTAAAATCTGTATGGTATTTTTGTGGCTTAAATGAGTTTTATTTACTCTTTCTGTTTTTGTGTTGGTACCAGATATCAAACTCAGGACCTTGTACTTGCAAGGCAGGCCCGGTATCACTGAGCTAAATCCTGGCCCTTAAATGAGTTTTAAATACAGAGGGTTTGTTGTTATTTGAATTGGAATTTCATTTTTTGTTGTACTGGGGTTGGATCCCAGGGCCTCGAGAATCCCCGCCAAGTACTGTACCACAGAGCTCCCCCCCCAACCTCCATAAACTGAAAATAATTTCAAATTTTCAGAAAAGGTCAGAACAGTACAAGCATCATCCACATACCTAATGTCACCTGTTGTTAACATTCTGTTCCCCTAGCTTTAATCTTTGTTCTCTGTCTAAGCATAATTTTTCCCAGAATCATTTGAGAATAGGCGGCGTACGTATCATGTGCTTCAGGGTGAGTCTCCCAAGAAAAAGATGCATTCTTACACGGCAGCAGCACAGTTATCAGCTGAAAGAAGTTTAATATTGATGGGTTAATTTTGTTGGACATATTGTCTATATTTGAATTATATCAATTAACAGAAAAATGTCCTGTCTAGAATTTTTCCCTCCCTTAAAGGATCCAGTCTAGGATCATGCTTTGTACTTACATGCTTCATCTTTTCATACTCTCAATCTGGACCATCTCTGGGGCCTTTCTTTGTTTTGTGTGACAGAGACATTTTGAAAGGATACGATGCCCCCAACCCCCCTTTCATGGAACATTCTGCATTTTGTAATTGTCTGATTTTTCCTTAGGTTTGGCTTGATATTCTGCAGTGCATTCTTGACTAGAATACTGTGTAGGTGATACTGTGTCCTTCTCAGGGTAACCCATCTGCCCCACATTGATGATGTTAATTAAGGTCCTGTCAGATTTCTCTACGACATAGTAACTGTTGGGTTTTTCTTTTCAGTAGTAAGGATGAAACTAGGGCCTTGCACATACTAGGAAAGTGCTCTACCATTGAGCAGCCCTTTTAAAATTTTTTATTTTTAGCTAGGCATAATGGTGCAAACCTGTAATCTCAGCTCTCAGGAGGCTGAGGCAGGAGGATCACCCCAAGTTCAGGGACAGACTAAACTGCATAGTAAGACCCTGTTTCAAAAAAACAAAAAAAGTTGTTTTTAATTTTGAGACAGGATCTTGTTAAGTTGCCCAGACTGACCTCAAAGTCAAAATCCTTTTGTCTCAGCCTCCTGAACAGCTGGGCTTACAGACCTGCATTATCACACCTGGCCATACTGTTTTTCAATTGTCACTTATAAGAATCTGTGAAGTTTGTTATCTACTATTGTATAACAAATTACCCTGTAATTTAGTGGCTTACCGTAACATATGTATTTTTTTTCGGAGTTTCATAACAAATATGTATTATCTCACAGCGTTTCTGAAGGTCAAGAATGTGGATGTGGTTCTAGTGTGGGCTGTCTCATGAACTGGTGGTGAGGCTAAGTGGGTACCTGAAAGATGTGCTTCCAAGTTCATCCCTGTAAGGAAGGAAGCCTCGTTTCCTCACCATGTGGGCCTCTCAGTAGGGCTGCTCCGGGCATCACTTTTCTTTTCCCAGAGCTAGTGATGACAGGGAGAGGGAGACGGAGAGACTCGAGATGGGTCAATCTTAGAAGTGACACACCTTCAATTCTGCCCTGTGCCGCTGGTCATGTAAAGACGGCAGGCCGGAGAACACTGTACGAAGCTGTGCGTCCTGGGAGGCAGGGAGCTTTAGGCTTGATCTTGAGGCTGGCTATGGAGAGATTCTTTAAGTCCACATCACTACTCTGGTACTGAACCAAATTTCTCCTTAGGTTTTATATACACTGTTTTCTCTTTATAACATTTTTTTTGAGACAGGATCTTGCTAAAATGCCAAGACTGGCCTTAAACGTGTGATTCTCGGCTGAGCATAGTGACGCACACCTGTGATCCCAGCACTCGGGAGGCTGAGGCAGGAGGATCACTGGGAGTTTGAGGCCAGCCTGGGCTACATAGTGAGTTCAAGGCCAGCCCGAACTACATAGCAAAGCAAAATAACTAGACAAACAAACTTGTGATTCTCTTGCCTGAGCCCCCTGAATAGCTGGGATTATAGACATGTACCACTGCATCCAACCTGGTCATTTTTTTCTTCAAGGCAGATAGTGCAGACGAATATTTATTGAGACAAAACCACCAGTCCAATAGTAGAGAATTACTGAGTGATTACCCTTCTTCCTGGGGAGGGAAGGTCAACCCTGTCTTGCTTGCTATTCAGCTTTCCATTTTTAGTCCATTTTCTTCTTCTTCTTTTGTTTTATTTTGTTGGTACCCATGATCGAACTCAGGACCTTGTGCTTGCAAGGCAGGCGGTGACACCACTGAACTAAATCCCCGGCCCTCATTTTCTTCTAACTTGCTCTTCTTTCAGATGAAATGTGATATAACAGATGAGCTTTTCAGCTTTTTTTTTTTTTTTTTTTTTTTTTTTTTTTTTTTTTTTTTTCTTTTGTTTTTATTTTTTTTGTGT